CGGCTGCGGGTGGCGCCACCCGGGGCGGCCTCACGGACGGTTCAGGTCACGGAAGCGACGCCCCTTCCGGATCCTAGCCGCTGTGGCTTTTTTTTTTACACTTCAGCGCCTTCTAGTTTCCAAACGGTTAGTCCTAGAGCAAAATTGTATACCACCTTTTGTGTTTGGCTCGTTGAATTCTATAAAATGGCATACTTATCAGATTCAAAATCCGACATTTTTTACCCCATCCCCACCTTTGATGGGTTTTGAGGGGGGGAAGGAGACTTGAGGGGTGGGTGCCACTATGTGGATTCGGTCGGGCATTGTCCATAGTATATGGGAAAATTGCTAACTCAAAACGAAAATTATGGTACAAACCCCTTAACCCTGTACGGACTCCTCCGTGACAGGAGTCTGTACGTCTGGTCCGACACCCTAATGGGATTTCTCTGTCCTCTAGGGGGGGACTCCAGGAAGTTGCGTCCTTTTTTAAGGACGGGTCACCAATGTGCCGGTAGGGGTTGGCGGCCCTCACTTCATTCGCCCGGTAGCACGGCACCATGAGAGGCAATTTCTATTCCCTGTCTGTGTGGATGTGGTCATCGACCCACACTGCTCCCGGAATCCCATGGGGCCCTTCCCTCCCTCCTGAGGAGTGAGGTGTTTCCTTCGGGTTCTCGGGCGCTGAACGTGTCGAACGGGTGTTCCCGCAAGGCTGGTCGATCCATGTGCTCCTGGCAGCGGGCTGGCCCATGCCACTGGGAGAGGTAGAGGTCCTCGAGAGCGTCGGCTCATTGCACTGAGAGGGCTTCTCCCCCGTCGGGAGGTGCGGACTTTATTCGTAGGGGAGGACGAGGCGGCGTGGACTTCTTAGTCCGTCGCGGGGCCCCCCGTCTCTTCCGAAGTAGGGGGTGCCGCGCGGCCGCTCGGATGTATTCCGAGGCCGGGGCCGAAGGAGGAGCCGAGAAGTAGTAGCCCGATATTTCCGCGACGGCGTCCCTTCAGAAGCGGGTCACCGGGCGACGGAATTCATCGCTGACCGCCGCCAGGTGGTTAGAGTCCGGAAGGGGCGCTGCTTCTGTGACCCGACCTGTCCGCGGGGCCTTCCGGGTGGAGCCACCCGCAGCGGTGCCCTCGTAGTCGGAGGCGAGGGACCCCCGAAATTCGTGAATTTCACCATATATATTCTTGTACCATATCCGCTCACAGGGAGTAAGGGACTGGAGGCCAGTGTCCCTGATGATACATTCCGGGGACCAGAGCCATGTACTAGCTCCCCAGGGGAACTTGAGGCCCCCTCTCCTGAACAGGTTCCAGGGGAGAGTACACCCTGGTTGGCGGAGCCGCCGCGAGGAGTGGAAAAAAAACTAAAATAAATAAAATATCTTCTTCCAAACACATCAACAACAAGGATGACGCCTATCAAAACAGGACAATCAGATGAGCCGACTGAAGGAGCCGCGTAGGTAACGCCCAGGCCCGAAATGCAGCAAGGCTGGGACGAGCGCCAGCTTCGCCAGCGCGGCCTCGATGTCGAGCTGTCGATCCCCAGGGCGGAGTCGACCATGAAGTCGGTCACCATCAGCGATGGGAGAGAGGGGAGGAACAGGACGGCCTCCCCCCTTGGTGCTGTCCTCCTCCTCCGAGTCGAGTAAGGAGAGTAAAAGACCGCGGGGTATACAGGCGTTAAATCCCGAAAACGTCGGCAAGTTCAGCACCGAAGCCAGGGAAAGAAGGGCGGAAAAAGCCAGAGCCGCCCAGTTACGAAAGGATTATGGGATCATTTGTGACCTTACAGCGAAGGCATCATCGAACTCCGCCAGGAAGACCAACCTGAAGGCCCAAGAACTGGCGAAGGAATATGACGAGCAGCCGGTTGGAGCGGTTGCGGCGATGGCCACCCGTGAACTGGCCGTTTTTGTGAAGTACGTAGAACGGTCAAAGAACATCCGCGGGAACATCGTCCGAGATCTGTGGACAGCTTACAGCAACATCACTGAAGCGCTGGAGTCCATCGTCCATAGGGGGGACAAAAGCGGTGACGGGGCAACAGCCGACTCCCCAACCGGCAAGGACAAAGAGAAGGAGAGGTGGGAGGAGGAAAGAAACAGACTGAACCAGAAGATAGCCTACCTCCGATCCCGCAATGCCCTGCTAGAGGGAGGGCGCGCATTCCCGTTGTACGCGACAACCGCGGACGGGGACGCGATCCCTTCCCTCAGCTGGGACGGCGCGATGGAATGGTCGAGCGGAGAAAACCATCGAGGTACACAATCGCACCGTCCGCTGGGCGCGCAGCAAGAAAGCGCGCCTGGAAGTTACGCCGCGGGGGAACGCAGACTACGGCGAACAGACCCGGGCTCCCGTCGTCATCACATAGGACTTAAGGTCCCCCTATTTCAGGCCGCCATTGCAGGGGAGAGCTAAACAATTCAACCTTCTGTCCAGTACGGCGGACAGAGAGATGGACATCGGAGCTCTTAGGAAAAATCTTTCCCCCCTCATAAGAGGAGTAACAAGAAGGGAGGGCAAACAGAGAGGCCCCTTGAGGAGACATTCGAAGGAATCCTGGCCAAATTCCTACCTCCCCTGCTGAGAGGCATGGGCCTTGCAGCCGCGAGGCGCCCGCCAAAAGAGCAGCACAGGAAGAGAGGAGTCAATCTCCAATTAAGGGAGCAACAGGACGGATGGCGACTTTTAAAGAAAAGGCGCAGCAGCCCGCATCGGGAACTCGGCGGGCGTCAGCCGTCGCTGCCAGTGGTCCCTCTCTCGCGGACACCAGGGAAACTGGGACGAGCGCCGCTACCAACGACCTTATGTTGGCAGGTCGTCTCTAAGGCGACAAAGAGGACGGCCAACAAAGCTGCCCGGGGTTACGCGACCAATGCACAGGCCGGCCCGAATAAGGGGGGCACCAGGCAGCCACAGCAATAACAGCAGCAGCGGAGGCGCAAAGGGACGAAACCACGAGGATCCCCCTCCTGATGGCTCGAAGGCCCCTGGGACGCAGTTGCCGAAGATCAGGCAGCCGTCCATCGCCGCGATTACTATCATCTGCGCCGACTCGCAGGCATACGCGGAGGTGGTGAGTCTCGCGAGGACAAAGATTAGCCTGCGAGACCTCAGGGTGGACGACCTGAGGCCCAGAAGGGCGATAGGTGCCCTTTTATGGGAGGTTCATCGTCAGGGCAACCGCGAAAAGGTGGAAAAACTGCAGGAAGTGTACCGCGACAGAGACGATGTCAGAGTCACCAGGCCCGTGAAATCCGTAGAGATACGAATAACGGGCCTGGATGATTCTGACATCTAAGGATGTAGAGGAGTTGGCGAAGAAATGCGAGAGACGCCCTCCAAATTCAAGGTGGGCGACGTGAGGATGATCAGTGGATTGGAGTCCTACTGGGTCAGATATCCCGTTGACGCCGGGAAGAAGCTGGTGGTGGCATAATGGATCACCGTGAGGTGGTCCAGTTGTAAGGTGGCGCTGTTGCCCGTGCGT